CGGCACCCCGGCATCCCCCCCACCCCGGTCCTGCTGGGAAGGGTTTCCCGCGGCAGGAGATATCCAGGCTTCCCCGGGAAAAGGAAAACAAATCAAAACATACTCTTCCTTCTTCCCTACCCCCCATCCGCTTAAATAAAAATCACACATCTCCAGGAGTCTGGGAGGCGACTTTAAAAAAAAATATATATATATATAACCTCCCCTGCCACCCGGAAACTGTCTAAAGCATTAAAGAATTTGGAACAAAAAAAAAGAAGAAAAGGAATAAAAAAATCCCACAACCTTCTTATTTGATAAACTTTACAAGCCCCTACAGAAGGTGCATCTGAAAAGCTATTCCACAAGGGCTTCTCTGCTGCTTCATGGGGTTTATACCAAACAAGAGGGGGAAACTGCAGCCTAAATACGGATCTGAACACAGCTCTCAAACCTACAAACCACAAGCAGACACAAACGCAATTAATACTAAGTTTTTCATATAAACCCAGGGGCTTTTCTCCTAGCTATCTACTTTTAGACTACTACCACATTTTTTCCAGGGGGTGGGATTAGGATCTCTGACAATTATTTTTTTGCAAACCCCACATTTTTGGCGGAAGAGGGGGTTAGCTTCAAAATCTCGCCCATATTATTTTTCACTTTTTTTTTTTTTTAATTTGCAATTACACAACATTTAATCCATGCAGTTACTATCTGAAACCTTTACTTTCTAATGAAGCAACATCCAGATTTTCTTTTTTCTCAAGTCCACCCCTTTCTACATACACAAACACACACACATACAGAATTGGTTTAAGACAAAAATAATCCCCCCAAAATAATAATAAAGGACTCACCTCTCCTTGGGTTTTTCCCCCCACACTATGTATAAACTTTCCTTGATAAATGGTATTGTATTACTAGAGATATTATTAATGTATTATTACTAGAAGTAATAATAATAGTAAGTGCTATTTAATTATAGAAGGCAGCATTCTGCTTCTGGATCGGCTGCCCCTGCAGCTCCCTCCATGTGCCTCCTGATCTCTTTACTTTCATTTCCAGGTCTCGCTCGCTCGCTCGCTCTCAGCTGCACCAGCAAGAGAAAATGCCTCCCTGCATATCCTCTGGGCCCTAGAGGCTACCGCTTTCCATTACAAAAATTCACAGATCTTTCCCTTGTGGTTGGTTTTGAGATTCTTTAAGGTGAACTAGGCTTAAAAAAAAAAAAAACAATTTAAAGCGCTTAAGCAGTCGAGGTTCCGTTCTTATTTTAATGCAACATTTTCCTTCTTCCTGGTTGTCTTTGCTGATACATAACATATACCCCAAAAGAAAGGAAAGCTGCCTCTGCAGAGTGATTGCATGCATGCAAAGCGCAGCAATGAACTGAATTACGAGACCCCCCCATGGGATTATCACATACGTGAAGCAGTGACCCTTTTGCCCACCCATATACGTTTGCTGGAAGGGGGCCAGAGCCATTGCTTATGGCAGAGCAATTATCTATTCCAGACAGACCTTACTTATTCCACCCCGCACTGCTGAGGGGGTTCCCTGTAAGTAAGATCTTCTGAAGACATAAATCTTTGGGTGGAAAGGAATATGCAGCGTATGTATATATAACATATTATTATTACATTATATACTACTGTGTATTATACAATATACATATATGATATATATGTACATGCATATATATTTTTATATTTATTTATACACATATGAGTTTAAGCACTTTTTTGGAACCAGATTTTTGGCTTGTTTTCATCCCAAATCCCTCAATATTTCCAGAAAGTGGACTGAATCTCCACAGCAGCCCATGCCGGCAGAGCCCCAGGAACGGAGTTGCTGGTGGGAAGCGGGGGCCCAGCAGCACACATTATTCTATCGCGGGAAATGGTTGTGAAGACAGAGGTACACAGGCTGCCTTCGACAGGGGTTCATCCATCCCTGCCCAGCTGCGCTACCATTAACTTCAAATAACCCTCTGAAATGAGTTTTGTGCTCAGCTCCCAGTCCAGCCCCCTGGTAGGATAGGTTTTCCTCTCCCTAAAGGGTTCTGTCTACCGTCAGATCGTCATTTCCAGACTGACACTGGTTTAAATTATCACCTCTTTTCCAATGTAATCAGTGACGTGTTTAATCCTCAGTGTCCCCCTTCTCTATTTACAGTGACCCAAAAGAGCGTCACTCCGTGCTTTGCAGCTAAGCAACTCCGACAAGATTCAGAGGCAGGTAGAAGGTATCATCTGAAGCGTACTAAACTTGTTTAATATTTAAAACAAGTTGATCAGAAAAGGAACAACTTTATTATATTGAGTAGGATTGGCTTCTGGCAGCTCTGTCAACACAATAAACTGATAATTTATGAAATATAGGCTGTGAATTGTATAATGTACCATATGACGCTGGAGAACACTGTCTTACGCTCTTCACAATATTTAATCACAATGCACTTTTTTTTAGATATTCATTATGATCCAAAGATTGCTGTTATTCATGGATAAGACAATGTTTATTTTTATTATCTCTTCAGCAGATTTGTTACCTCTTATTTTTAGGCAATGACACCGTGACAGTGAGTAGAGTCTAACCAAGCTGGGCCTCCGCTGTAGAAGCTGCTGGGCAAAATGTACATTAAAAGCCCCCCCCTGTCAAGGGGTGGCTTTGGGCAGAAGAAAGGTGGAGCCGGCCTGGTGGGGGAAAGTAAACACGGGGAGACCTGACATGCCAGATCACATTGGGAGGGCAGCGTCACGGAGCCATTAAGCATCAAACGAGTCGCAGAGCCCAGGACGCCTCCAACCCTGCAGCACCTCTGAAAGGCAAGACATCGCAGCTGGATGAGAAGAAGAGGGCTTAGGAGGAGCTGAGGCGAAAGAGGAACAAAACCAAAATCTACACACAATCAAGAGTTATGCTGGAATAAGCACTACTTTTTAATTCAAGAACATTCATTTTCAAGACTGCATTTCCCAACGGAACGTCATGTTATACTTCCTTCCAGCCCAATTTCTTTTGCCTGTAAGACTGGGAGGTGTCCTGCAAGGTCATGGTCCAGCATGTACCGCTCCTCTCATGAAATGACATCTTTCCTTAGTGGTTAACATGAAGATTTTCACAATTTGCAAGGATGGTTATCGAGGTCTCGTGTGCAGGCAGTCAGCAGAGTCAACACGCCGCCAATCCCTGCTACGAACTAGTTACAGTGTCGTAAAAATTACTTTGATTTGTAAAGCTGTTCTTTTAGGGAGAATGATCTATGGATCTATGCTACAAGGGCACAGTACACCTTCGTTCCAGTATAGCTGCATCCACAGTTAAAGACTTTATTCTCACCCCTCTGGCCCAGGTAATTAGCCAATATTTGGGAAAACAACAGAGAAGGGAATCAGATGTATTTGATATGATCCTGTTTATTGCTAAAGATCACGAGGAACTAAGAGCAAGTGCCAAATTCCTTGCTTATATTTTCCAAGTTCAAGCTCCTTCTCGAGATCACGCTAATTTGTTCCCTCATCTGCTCTTCGTTTTCTGGCAGCTTTATGCTTCTCACATAAAACCGTAATCTAGTCAGCGCCTCAGCTTCTTATTTTCTTCAGTTGCAAGAGAAATTCCTTTTATTACTTATGAGTTAGCTTTTGCTCCAGTTTTCTATGCAGCTGCTGTACTGGTTTATGGCTTTTATTCTGTCAGCTGTCATGCTCCATAAAGAAACGTAATTGCTTTTTGTATTCCCCCAGAACGAAGAAGGTCTGCCATGCCCTTCAACCTCAACGCAGTCTCCCAGGTCACCCAGCATTGCCAGTTACCGACATTCTTTTCTTGGGTCTGTATAAGCATTTGATATTGTTTCTCAAAACCACAGTTGGGAGAATTTTGAGAGAATGAAAAATGCCTCATGTTTTGGGACCAAATGGCAGAATAAATCCAGCCTATTACCCACCTCAATGCTGAGCTCACCGGCTATCTGCAGCTGCCACCTGAAATGGTACCTAACGTCAGTGCCTGTCGGTTGCAACCCGGACAGAAGGGCTTGTGTCGAGGGGACCTGTGCAAACACACTGGAGCAGCAAGCAGGTTTACACACAGCTCACCTTGCCCCATCAGATGTACCTTTATTTCTGTTCTCAAGAGGAAAATGCCACACACGATGTGCACAGGAAGCCGCCAAGCAAACCAATGCTTTTTGCATCCTTAAGTAGGAATGACCGCACTCCTGGATGAAACGCTTTCCTTAGCAGAAAGGTTTGACAGTAAGACGGAAATACAAAGATGAGATCTGCAGAGACATTATCTAAATGAGGGTTCACGGAAAAAGGCGCTCGTGTCTCATCTGTGGGCATGTGGGAAGCCTGCAGAGCAACTCAGCTCCTGCGGCGACATCTTCCCTGAAGGCCTGTTGTGAAAGGGGCTTGGGCGCACACCGCAGATCCGCTCAGCCCTCTGAGACCGGCGGCACGGCTGCCGCGCCTCGGAGCCCGCGCTCTGGAGAGGCAGGAGCAGAGGTGGCCGAGGGCAAGGACACGGGCCGGTGTCACACGGCCTCACTCG